CATCTCTTCCCTTGTCCTGGGACTCTTGCAACCACAGGAAAGGTGGGACTCCCCCTGGCACTGGCTGCTGCAGGAGCTCTACAGAAGGTGGGATACAGAGCACACTGCACCTCTCTCCTGCTCTTCCCTCTGATTGCCTTTGAGGCTGAATTCCAGCTTTACACCAGTGCATGGAGCTGCGTGTTCTGGGCAGTTCTTCAGCATCCTAAAGGGCAGCCAACAACTCAGAAGGAGGAGTTGTTGCTGTTCTTCTTCTTCTCCTCAACGTGTGCAAGAACACAAAGCAATTTGCTCACTTTGTAACCCTGAACCTGGTGCCTCAGGGTGTGGTGAACTCCTGCCAGGGCTCTGGAGGGAATAGGCTCCCTCTGACCTTCCAGCAGTGCAGGTGTTACTGGGCACAGGCACACAGGTGTCACCTCCTTCCTGAGCAACAATTACAGATTACAGCTGTTGGAGGCATTTTTGTATTTCAGCATAAACCTTGTTCCATGTCTCACTGACACAATTTCATTAATACAATAAATAGATCAACATTATCCTGGAAGAGTTTGGTCCACTGCTGTTATCAACACCTGATTGATTAATTTTTTACTACTTTTTTCCCCAAGTACCAGCTTAAAATCAGTGCAGCAACTCCAAAGTTTGGTTTCTCCAGTGCAACTTGTAGGGATGCCTTAGTGCAGTATTTAGGAGATGCTTTATCAACTAATTTATTGACTCTGATCACAAAGTCCCAACGTTAAATTTGCTGTAAGCTTTGTCATCCTGCTTCTCCCTCTGTGTCTGCTGCCCTTTAGTGCAGGAAATCTAAAATGAAATGGCAACTTCTTGCCTGGCCAGGAGAGGTGGGCTGGCCCCCGGGACACTGGCATCAGCTTTGTAAACACAGGATGAACTCCCCTCATCACCTGCCACTTGATATCCGTATCAAAGCTAAGGCTGCTAGAGGGGACCATTTTATTAAGACTGGAAATTCTATTGGGAGTGCAGTCACAAGTGCCCTGACATATGGAAATGGATGTAATTTCATCTGATGAGACAGCTAACACTGTGTCTGGGCAAGGGAACAGCCAATGAGCAGAGCATGGGCGACTTCTCCCCGTGTTTGAAGATTTCAAAGGCCAGAGGAGATCACTGATGTTATCATGGCTAAAACCACAATCTGTTCCCTGCTTGTTGACCAGAATATCTCAATTTATGTGCAGCTGAAGCATACAAACTCTCCCTGCTCTGAACAGCACCTATTCTGCTTATTTTCTGGTGATGATAATTGTTGGGTCACACAATGGGGTGTTTAGATAATTAAGGCATGGCAATAAAACAGCTGGAGAAAAAGAAGAAATTCCACACCACAAAAGAATATCTTAATGCTAAAGTATAACTGGACATGTCTGATGAATTTCAGAGTGTTACCAAACTCAGACAACAACCAAAAAAAAGGATTGATTTGCGTCGCTGCATCTCTTCAGACACTTGGCTGAACAACTCACAGACCTTGGAATAAAATACAGGGCAGGGAAAGAGAAGTTCAGGGTGCACAGAACATCAGCTTTCACAGGTCACTGAGAAGCAGAAGGAATGCAGCCTGAGCCCACCTGCAAAGCAAGGTGCTGCCAGCAGCAGCTCTGGGCTGCCAGGGGTGGAGCAGCCTCTGCCCCGCGAACACCGACCCTTTGTGCACCATGGTGAGGAGGCAGCTCAAGCATGAGCAGGACAGGAAATCCACACAACCTTTGCAGAGTCTAGCTCAGCCTGCTGCATTCAAAACATCCCAATGCAACTCCATCCATGGTCCGAAATTCTGCTTGCTAATTTGGCTTGTTAACGACGCGGGGCAGGAGCTGTTGTCGTGTGTCTGTGAAGCAGCCAGCGCTCCCAGGAATCCAGACTTATTTGGAACGTTGGGTAGAACTAAGGGTTTAAAAAAGGAGGAAGAATCTACCAAAATAACTGTTTTCCAGCACGATCCACAGGCCTGACCAAATTAAATCCTGGATGTGTGTATCTTAATTGTCTGTATTGCACATCTCAACACTACAGCAGTTGTAGTCACAGAACCAAGTCCTGAATTTGGCCCATTATAGCATCTGTTTAATGCACTGAATTCTCTTACCCACTCCATTTCCTGTACAGCCATGGAAGTTCCAGAGTTAAATCTCTGTTGTGATCCCCTGTCATGCTCATTTTTGGTCAACTATTTGAAAAACCTTTTGAGCGCAGGGGTGTGCATCAAGAGGTAATGCTTTGCTCCAGGGAGGGAAGAGCCTGAGTACAGACATTAGAAATATGTGCAAGTTAAATAAACTACTTAAACACAAGATGCTAATTTAGCAGCTTCAAGGGCCATATTTCTCCAGCCAACCCAAGACATAAAAAGACAAAATTTCATTAAAATAACCTAACCCCACTGTTGTTTCGAGTGCTGCATTTATTCAAACACAGCTCACCAGCTCTCAATTAGCTGCTTTCACACTCCAACTGCAGCAGGTCTGCAGTGCACAGAAATGTAATTATTCACACACCACCCTGTCACTGCCACCACTGTCTGTACTTCTAAAGCATCTTGATTACTGCACTGATGAGCACTATGGAAATGCCTATAAATAAAATAATCATCTCCCCTCATTAAGTTCCAGCTTGTGGACTGAGGAAGGATGATTTCCCTTTGTACGTTCCTTTTGTAAATTTTATCATTTCACAACAGAGGGAGCAACGTGCCTCTGATGGCACTCAAAGAGACAGACTGTCAGGATTCTCGTCAGTATTTCAGCTTTGAGCAGCTTGCATTTTTGCATGAATATTTCCTCCTGAAAATAAAGCGCTGTTTGTCAGAATCACGCATGCAGTAATCTCTTTCTAATGTCAGCATCAGACATGCAAAACCCCCTAATGTCATGTCAGGAGGTCAGATTTTATGGAGCAGTATGTCATGGAAACCCTAAGAGCCAGCATAAGCTTCTAGCTCTGACTTCCACACTAAGAACACGCATCTGTAGTAAAGAACAAGCACTGAAGGAAACCTTCCACTAAAAACAAAGCCTTGTGAACCAGGTTTGCTCCTCAGGAAGCTTAACAGCAATTGGTGCTGCAAACAAATATCAAACATCCAATTACTGCCAAACCACAGTCTCACTGTTTTCAATAACTGCATTACTGGGTGTACATTTGCACACACTGAAGCTCCCAGCAACATCTCCAACATGCAATCAAATATCTGATTTCATAAAATGGTGAATTGCAAAGCCAGAGAAACAAGTGAAATATTGTATCAGGGCTGATCCTGTCTTGTCTCCAGCCAGGGGTGGAAGGGAATCACCACTTGCTGCCGTGAACAGCTAAAAGGGGAGAAGAGAGCAGTCTGATGGAAGCTCATGGAGCATCCCTATTTATGCACCATCCAAAGCAACATCTCACCCCCAAACAGCCAGCAGCTCTCAAAGAACTGAGGCCACTCACAGGTTCAGATTAAGATCCTCCTTCCCAGCTGGGAGAACAGCAGGACTCTGTGTCAACATGAGCAGTGAGATGCTCTCAGGCCAGATCCAGCTATGGAGCCCTTTGCAAAGCTGCTGTGACCCAAAGGGCATGGCCTGTGCCCAGGTGAGATCACCTCAGGGAGCACAGGTCATTTGAGAATCTCCTTCCTCTTTCCCTGGTCTCTCCCAAGGCTTCCAGTGCACCTGTCCTGGTATCACTGCCCATTTCCAGCAGGTTACTGTGTCTATGGACAGGCACCCTCTCATGTTCAAACTGTGCATCTGAGGAAGGAAAAGTGCTGTGTTGAGACAAGTGCAAAGGAAAGCTTTGGCAGACAGATGGGATTTTTTGTGCATCTGAAGCTGGAACCAGACAGTAACTAATGTGCAGGACACAGGATGGGACAAAGCAAGAATCACAGAATGGTTTGGGTTGGAAGGGACCTTAAAGATCATTTAGTTCCAACCCCTGCCATGGGCAGGGACACCAGACTATCAGGTCAGAGTGACGTGCTGCTCTCCCAGGAACTACACTACACTCCTGGACTGTGCAGGACATTGTAGGAACCTGCATTTGGGATGAACATTTTTATTTGTAAAATCTGCATTTCCTTGGGCAGAGCCAGTCCTTGAATAATTTTCTCCAGAGACAGGAGAATTTAATGCAAAACCTTCAATCCCTAGAATAGCCAGCATCCAAACCCACACAAGAGGTGTGCTGCCTCACTCCAGAATCTGGAGCAGGAAAAATAGTGACAAAAATAACACCATTCCTCAATTACAATAAACAGAAATGTTAAATCAAGCTCAGAATCGCCCTTGAAGAATCTAGCTCTTCCCAGCTCTAAAAATGATCCCCCACATTCCTTTAAGGCTTTTCATAGATACAGCAATACGAAATGGCTCGTTGCTGTGTAGCTGCTAACAAGAGACAGATGTTTCCTTCAGTTCCAGCAACATGCAGACATGAAGCACATTTTGATGACCTGCTAAATATTTCTGCCTCTTTCTGCACGTTACCCCCTCGTGCATTTAGTCAAGGAAACGCTCTCCAGTTCCACACTTTCCCTGCTCACTCTGGAGCTGGCCAGAAGAGCATGCTCGGATCAATCGCTTTATCTTAGCAAGCCTTCACCAGAGGGCAAGGAAAGTCAAGCAACACGTTTTCACTGAGTGGAGCCAAAGCTGGAGAGTTCTTCCAGTGAGTCCAGATCCAGGTCAGCTGGTGGCTGTGAGCCCAAGTCCCCCTGTTATTTATTTAGCTGCCCCAGAAGACACACACCGTGCGCCGGCGTGCAGAGCGAGCATCTGTTCCACCCAGACCCACGGCTACATCCTTTACTTGGTATTAATATCAGGGAAAATTTAGTAACCTAACCACTGGCATGAGAAGCCATACTTCTAAGGGAACAGATGGCAGCAATCATCTCAGCTTAATTTTAGGCTTCAAGAATTGCTCTGAGTCAGCAAAGCCACACAATGAGAGGAAGAAAGAGACGTAACATCTGTAAAACCTCCTACCTGCTTCCCATCCAAGGTGTACAGCTTTTTGACCACCCCTGTCTCCAGTTTGATAGCTTCAGTGATGTCAGTGAGGACCTGCTCGAAGGAGTGGGCGGTCTTCTTGTTGAGGAGCACGCGCACGGCCTTGCGCGGCTTGACCCCGCTGCGGATGATGGTCACCAGCTTGGGGCGCACGAAATCCTTGTTCTCCTTGGCCTGGGCACTGTTGCTGCTGGCCAGGGACTGAGGTGCTTTCTGGTTGGCAGAGGTCTTCACGTTGACAGACCAGTTGGGGTTGACGTTCTTGGTGTACTCCACCTTCTTGAAGAAGTTGTCGGACGAGCAGACGTAACTCTCCCCTTGAGGAAGAAAGGAGATTCTGCATAAGCACCAGCTCTGTGCTCTTCCCCCGTGAATCATGCAAACCATGGATAATTGTTTCCATTAGCACTCCCACAACAGCTTGTTCTTAAAACATTCTGCCTTGTTTTAATGCTATATTTACGGTTATTTTAAATATTGCTGATATTTCCACAAAGTAAGCATGTCAGCCATCAGCAAATACATATAATGAATCAGGGGTTGAGAGAGGTTGAGTTATAAAGGTATTTAGGTACTTGAAGATGCAGCCAAGCTTTCCAAGAGGTTCAGAACACCAAATTCATCTGACCACCTCAATTATTTTATAAATTTGCCAGTTTTCCCTTTATCTTTACAGACCTAGGTGCTACTTCAGTGTGCCATTCCCTGCCAAGAGGACATCAACACTCATCCACAAAGTGCCTTCTGCATCATGCCTGAAAAATAATCAAAATCTTGTCCTGAACAGTCTCCACTAAAAGTAGCCTTGATAAATCTAGCAGGCATAACAAATATGCACTGTTGGAGCATCAGTGGTTTATTAGGGAACAGACCTAGTGGCAGCTGAAATTAAACACTGCACCAAATACCACTCCTTGATTTACACGTCTGATACCAACCAAAAATACATTAAATCCAAATTTAGACACGCCAGAGAAGAGTTACAGGGTCCTTTTAATAATTCCCAAAAAGCTCTTCCCTATCCCACCCAAAATTAGTTTCAGGCTTTGTCTGTAATTTACAAGATCCTATCTATCCAAGGTTTTAAAAGCACCTTAAAGGATTTGTAGGAGCTTCTTTTGGGCCTGCAAATCTGATGGATGCTGGGAGAGTTATTACTAGAATGAGACTGTAAACCAGTATCCCTAAGGGAATGTAGCTGTCTGGTCTGAAATGACTCAGGCTGCACTGAAAAAAAGTCACTCACTGCAGGAGGAAGAAGCTTTCGTCTCGCCATTAGATAAAATTTTAATAGGAACTGAAGGCATGACCTGTAGGATTTTAGAGTCTCTTCTGGTGTTTTCTTTGTCTGATCTTACAGAATTAAGTTTTTTTTATGTATTACAATACGTTTGAAATCAAAATACAGATTTAACTATTTTGAAAGGCAATAAAAAAAAATAAATAAAAAGAAACTAAGAAACTCCTTCATTACAAAAACAGATTGGCTGCATTTCCGTGTCTGTCCCTGACTGCAAACGCCAAGGCTCAGACATCTTTGAAAAGCTTATCCCACAGCCAAGTCTAGCTTCCCCCCCAGGGGTCTCTAGGACAGGATTTGTCATCCAGTTGGCAAAATATGGATTTCTAAACATCCCACTGATTTTCATATGGCCCAGGCGTGTAACATGCCCAGGATAAAGTTCATACTGGAGCCCCTTCTGCTGACTAAACGGCACTTCTGATGGAGGCACCAGAACCCATGGTGAGACCACAAGAGACACACAACAAACAGATTTTAACGGTGTATTTCTGTCCCTATTACTGACCAGGGTGTGTTGTCACAAGCAGCCATAGAAAAGATGTAGGATTCTCCCTTATTTTAACCCCACCTTTGTACCCAGTTTGCCACCATAATGCCCAATTGTGGTGTTTGCATCACCAAGAGATGCAGCTCTTCTCCATCAGTTGTATAAAATTTACCAAAATCCTTGATCAACAGGAAGCAGATATTCTGCTTCCCCTTCTAAAGATGGAATACAAATACAGGAGAGAGCTGACAAGGTTTGTGATGGACACTCAGTTGGGCATTTTGTCAGCCGGTGTATCCCAAACTAACAACAATCCCACCAGCAGGTTCTGTTGGCCTGAACAAACAGCAAAAATCTCTATTTGCTGACAGCAACACCCCTCAATAAACCAACCATGCAGCCCTGCCCATAGCTGGAGCTCCTTAATCCCCAACATTTTGTGAATCTGACTCAATAAAAACTCAAATATACCCTCCAGAGTACCACGCATTATACAAAATTCCCTCTGGGGATATCATTTTCCAGAAGCTTTGAATACTTCAGATCTTTCTGATTAATAAGTGATAAGTTGTGGTTTATTCATCTGCTTCAGCCAAGGAACACCTGGTGCAGAGCAGGCCCAGGCTTCTCTCCAGTTTCAGGACTCAGAGAAGGGCAGCAAGGAGTCTGGAATGCTCCCAGGAATTAACCATCCTAAGAACCTGAGCCCTCCCAAGCCCATAATCCCCGGGCAGCAGAGCCCTCCTAAGTGTGCTCAGCAGAACTGTGCATTATCCTCTGAGAAAAGGGATTTCTCTGTTTAAATGCAGCACTAAGAATAAGTGATTTGAATGCTGCTGTCACCCCAGCTTCCCTGTGCCAGCTCCTGACCTCACATCCACCTCTGCTTCCCTACCTGAAAAACAGAAATAAACTAGCAGCCACTGAAGTGTGGCAAGGCTTGACTTTCATCTGCATTTGACCTTCATCTATATTATTTTCACAGTGAAAGAAGGTACACATTTGCACTGTGTTCTGTAGACACCTGAGGTGCTGGAGCATATTTTCTATTAACAAGTTGTATTATTTTAAAGCAAGCTGAAGAGATTATTGATCTGTCTGGTACAGCACCATTACCCTCAGTTCCAGCTGAGTCCTTTTGAGCTGCTCACTGCACAGCACAGCTGTTTGTGGATTTACACCTCTGTACACCAAAGGCAACAGTGGCATGAAGGCAGAACTCTTATGGGCTTTGTTCCACAAGTGTGATCTTGGGCAGCTGTGCAGATCCACACACTGGCCTCTAGAGCTCTGCTCACACTCACAAGGGGAAAATGGAATCTGCCCTTTCTCCCTTTGTCTCATTTAACTCAAACTCCAGCAAATAAAATCCGTGCTGTACTCGATTCTAAAAGTGGTGAGAAATTTCCTTGGAGAGACACTCCAGAAGAGCAGTTCAGAGCAGCAGCTCTTCTCAGCATAATTTCTGCAGTCACAGCAGCACAGCTCCAGGGAAGAGGATCTTTTCTTTCCTTCCTCCCTGACCTAAAGATGTGACCTGAAGCTTTAAATTTATTTAAAAACCACTTCAACTAATGTCTTTCCTAACTCAGTTTGTGACCCTCAAATAGCAGCAAAATCATCATTCAAGCTCCTCACTGAGGCACATGCATTTGCCAGCCAGGAACACACTTTCCACAGTGCATTTCACCTCCCACAGTGGAGTTTTACCCAAACCTTACCATGGTGGTAGCAGGATTGAGCAAGCATGGGCTGAAGACCTGTGAACTTTGCAGCTGTTAAGTGCACAATGTGGCCAGGAGATGATAAAGAAAAGAAATCTTACAAGGAATAGAGCTGCCATGGAGGGAGGAGTGGGTTCTCTGTGGGTTTCTGTGCCACATCTGTGTGTGCTAAGCCTATAATGAGAAGTCAAGGTGTACAACTGTGCCAGCCACAGAACTATGACTGACAGACACAGCGTGATAGCAGAAGATGTGCTCAGCATAACAGAAGGGATGGGAAGAGGATGTGAGATCTTGTCACGAGCAAAAGAAACAGCTCCAAGAAGAACATTGCTCCCCAGGCCTAAGCACAAAAATCTGTGCACAAACACTTTCAGGAGCACGACTCAAGCCAGCAAGCAGCTGTGCAGAAATCCCCCTGCAAGCCATGAGAAGGTACAATGGACAGCCAGGTCATGAATTCCAAACAAACCCCAAAAAGGGAGCCCCAAAGAGACACACTCGTGCACTGGGGCTGGGGAGCATCATCCTGACAAAACCCCCGTGGTGCCAAGGACAGTGTTGGTTCAGTGCAGGGCCAGCTCAGAGCACAATGCCCTTTTTACACTGCAGAGCCAGAGCCCACAGGGGGATGAGGGGTGTCACCATGCCAGGGTGCTCCAGACGTGTCACAATTCCTATCGTGCCACCAAACCAGCCAAGGCATTTCCTTCCTGCTCCTGCCTGCCCTCAGCAGTGGCTGGGCTGCCTGCAGACCTCAGAGCTGCTGCCATGACCATCATATTTGCCATTTGAAGCCAGGCTTGCATCACACAGAATGACTCCAGCTTCAAGTGCATGACACATCCCAGTGCTACGGATTTGATGGGAGCACAAGGAGATTATTCAGCTCCTAAAGAAGGGATGATCTCAGCAAAGATAAGGTTTGCCTTGGAGAAGGTTCCTTAGAAAAAACCCTAAGCTCCAGATGAGTGTTAATCCTCCAACCCTCTTACAGCAGCTCCCTGTGACAATACCAAAAATGACAGGCTGTGCTTTCAGGAAAAGTTATCCTTCCTCAGCATGCACCAGCAACTTTCCAAGGATAATGAACTGCGGGCAGAAGTCTTTTGAGAAAAATCAGGAAAGCTGGATTGAGGCCATTTTGAATGTCTAAGTGTTAACATTTATTCCAGGAACAGTCTCTGTGGGCAGCAGTCAATTATTCTGGCTGTTAGATCTGCAGTTGCAAAGTTGAGAATGTGCTACTGTGCCCAGATTTTGTGTTTCATGGAATTTACCAGGGCTGCAGCAGGAATTAAGTGGACTTAACACCTTGCAGAGTTTATTCCACATGGTGTTGGAGGAGGCCTTGAGTTTCAAATGCATGAACTTGCTGCTGCTTCATGAGTTAAAAGGACCTACTCCAGTTAAAAAGACCTACTCCAGCACAGCAAAATGAACCTTGGAAGAGCTCCCTTCCCTTGGCTCCTCCATGAACAGAAGCACCTCTTGTTCTGCTGGAGAAGTGGAAGAAATGCTGGGTTAGAAATCCCCTTCAGAGCCACACGATGCCCCTAAAGAATTTTGGGACCACACCAGTCCTGGCTGCACCTAGCTAGGGTGAGCAAGCAAATAAAACAGAGCCCCATGGACAAATTTGGTCATGTAGGGTGTAATTAGCTGAGCTATCAGGCCAACAAACACCCACAGAAAACAATTCCACAGGTTACCAAGGTTTCAGTATGAAACTACAGGAACTTCACTTTTCCAGGCAAACTGGAACACACACATTGGGTGGAGATTCCAGGATGTTTCCTATAAACCCCTCAGTCCCAGCACACACCAGACTCTGCACAGTTCCAGGGTGGAGCCCCTTCTATTATTACTTTAAATACTCCTGGACAAGATTATGGAAAATATTCCCAAGGGCATGACAGGATACAAAAAGCTTGGAATCACTTTCTGGAATATCTCGCACAGCCCAAGAACATTTGCAATAAAACCACACTGAGCAAAATAAATCCTACTCAGCTTTTTCTAGAGTTTGATTTGAAACAAGGGCAAATTTCGAACAAGCAGCCCAGGACAGGGCATGAAATCCACCCTGGGATGTGCCTTTCCTTCCCTCCCAGGTTGTGCCTCACTGTCCATTTCATTATGTCAAGAAGCTGAATATGGAAAAGCAGCAAAATTTTGGAGTGGGCTGAAAAAACCCTTTTGTCCGACAAAGAATTCATTTATGGGACAATGGGGACTGGAACAAGTGGCCAAGAGCAGCATTTCCTAAGCCATCTTTGCTGCTGAAGTCAATGCACAACATCAGTTTCCACCTCTACCCAGCCCTCCATTCAAGGACAAAAAATAATCAGAGCTGAGGTGGGACAACTTCTCATCACATCAAGTCTTCAAGAAGAGGCTCAAAATTAATCAAACCACCATGTCCAGATACCAAAGGAACTAAATTTCAGCTGAAACTTGGATGAAATGCAAGCTGCTCTATGATCATCATGAGACAGGCTGGAAAGGATTGCACATGATTATTTTAGCATCTTTCATATGCAAGTTTGATCACAGCACAAGGCACAGAATTATCAGTTACAAGTGACTCACTGCAGTAAATGCAGCTACATAAATCAACTTCCCAAAGCCCTGGTCACTGGAACCAATTCTATATGAAGGGGAATAAAGCCCACCTGGTGCTCTTTTCCAAAAAATTCATCTGCCATGATAAATAGCAGCACCTTGGGCCAACATCCACTCCTGACCCAGCCAAGGCAGTGGGACACGAGTGGAAGGATGAGCTGGAACAGGATCCTGCCCAGCACAGAGATTAAGGAGGAATACAGTCCTAAGCAACATCAGCAGGTGCATTATTTAGTTATATTAAAGCTTATTATTATTATATTTAATTTATTATTATTATTATTTATTAGAGCTTATTATTTATATTAAAGCTGAATACTGAAAATAGGAAGTCAGGATTGAGACAATGACTACAGTGATGGAAGGTGGCTGCTAGGACTGAAAAGGGGAAGGAAAAATGATCAGGTGGGAAGATTATGAGAGAAGGTCACTGGGAGATGAGACAGCTCCCTGGAAAAGAATGGGAAAAGCAGCCTGTGACCAGTGAGGGAGAACTCAGCTGGCAGCAAAAGGCACCTGTGTGACAGAGCTCTGAGGGCTTCCAAAATGGGAGATCTTAGGGGGCAGTACAGGAAAGGACCAAGAGGCTCAGCCCAACAGATGGAAGGAATGTGAAAAAAGAAAGAGCATTAAAAACTTCACTTGTTCTCATTATGGGAGTACCCTTGAGAGCCAGGGAAGAACTCTGGGTCTGGAGAACAAAAGGGTGATTCCAAGCCCCAGTTAATTAGCTGCACACCACATGGTTTTTGTTCACCTGAAATGTCTGTCTCTAGATATTGCTGCTGTACAATATCATTCTCTACCCTCCAGAACTACACTCAGGGTACACTAGGTAAGGACATTTTTCAATCAGAAATAATCAAGCTTAGAACATGATGTGAAATATTGTCAGTAATTCACAAGTTTTTGCCATCAAACCACTGAGATGAGCCTCTTTGATCACTTTCCCTAGATTCTACTTGTTTATTGGAAATTACAATGATAAATTAGCCCCATTATAGCAGCAAGCACTGGTTTGGTTACCCTCAGACTCCAAGCAGAAATCCAATTCATAAGAGATGCCCTGGTTGTGCGTGCACTGTTCTTGTGTGTCGCAGCAGAATTATTCCCAAATTCTGGGTTTCATGCAGGTATTTTGTATTTTGGTACACAGGTATTCTGTACCCAGCTATGCAAACACCCAAGCTGAGGGCAGAGTTCACCACAAGGGCTGGTTATAACCACAGTGTTGTAAATTGCTTTTCTACAACAGAAGTGTAGGTCACCCCTAGAAATATGGGATCAATAGCAGCGTGCAGACCTACTCTGGCATGGTCAGAAATGGATTCCTTTGTCTTCACTCTGCTCAGGTTTTATTTTCCTAGATGAGGCTCTGCTGAGGACACAGCCACACAGACAATCCCATTCTGGTTTTCATGCCTCTTCTTCAGTGCTGTTTCCAGATGCCATTTTGGCAGAACAAAGCCAGAACTCAAATGCCAGCATCTCCTGTCTGTACTTCAACCACAAAAATCTATTTTCATGAACTAAGTACCTCCTTACCTGCAGCAAAACCCATTTAAAAGAGATGCAACAACTAAAGCTTTCTTAACTTCACTGACAAAAAGCAGGAAGACTATAAGAGGAGGGAGAGTGTAAAAAGAGAATAAAGAACTGCATTTTCTGCTGGAGTTATTTCTGAAGATTTGCTTAAAACCTAGGGCAAGCAGGACTAAGAGCTGCCATTAGAGAAAGGCTGTGGCCATATTAAGAGACCAGAATGAAACATGGCAGAATCTCTAAAATTAAGGGAGGCCACACCTCCATTTGACAGCTGTAAATGGGCTGAGAATAACTCCACCAGGAAGCATCACAGCTCTGAAAGGCAGCAATTTCTTCCCAGGAAAACTCCTCTATGGAAACCAAGATTTATTTCACGTCCTTGCCCCTGCAATGTATTTTGGGAAGATGAGCATCCTGCCTGACAGAGAAGGAATTCTAGGGAGAGCTGCTTTAGTCAAGGTCACACAATGACTCGCAGCCGAGGCTGTCCCTGCAGTCGTGCCTCACGCACTCCCATCCATTGTCTTTCGCTAAAGGCAAAAGCCTCGTGGATTTTTGGGAGTTCCCAAACTGGCCAGAACGTCTGCTTGGAGAAAAACACCAAGGAAAAGGGAAGAGCACCTCCCCTCCTGCAGCAGGATATTCCAGGTCCGAACAAAGAATGAATCGCTCGGGGAGGAGAAAGCAGCGTGCCCGCGGGTGCCCTGCTGCCACCCCACTCTGGCTCCGGCAGAGCTGCCCCGCGCTCCTGCCTCGGGCAGGGAGGCAGCACTGGCCATCCATCCCTGCAATCCCACCCCAGGGCGGTCCCGAGCCTGCCGGGAAAGGCAGCAAGCAGGGCAGCACCCCAGGCTCGGGCACGGCTGGCAGCTGAGCTCCGCGGGAGCAAACCTTCCCCCAGGGCACCCCTTCCGAGCAGCATTGATTTTTGGCTCATCCCTCACCCCGCAGTGACACACAGAGGAGCAGGCTCAGCCACACCCCCTCGGGACACGGGGACACGCTCGGTCCTGCCCCGAGCGCCCCCGGGATGCTCCTCACACTGCCCGGAGCCACCGCAGCGAGGCTCCCCGCACTCAGCCCCGCACGGACCGCGCTGGTGTCAGGGCATGAACCCCCGTGTCCTGTGCGCGCACATCTCTGAGAGACCCCCTTACAGACCCCCTTACAGACAGCCCAGCCCACCTCCACAGCTCCTGAGCTCAAACCCCTGCTCAAAGAAACCCTCACAGCTCCCTGTAATGAACCCTCCTCGCGCATAAACCCCAAATTTCACCAAGCGCAACCTGTCCAAAACGCCCTTCTCTATTCACAAGCCTCGCTCATTAAATCCCCTCTCTAATCAGGCAGTGTGAACTCCCAACACACCCCTGCACACGCTCCACAAACACTGAGACCCCCGCGCCCTCCAAACACCCCTCGCACCCCAACACCCCTCTCCAGACCCCCAGGTGCCCGCCCGACCCTGACCACACCCCCTGTGCACACGCATCGTGTGTGCCATACCCCAAAAACCCTACACAGAGCGCACAAACCCTCCCCACCCCATCCCACACCCCTGTGCACACGCATCGTGTGTGCCATACCCCAAAAACCCTACACAGGGCGCACAAACCCTCCCCACCCCCATCCCGTCCTCCAGGAATACCTCAGCCCCTCTTCCCTTTCCAGTCATCCCCACCCACCCCACTGGGAAACCCAGCCGGGCTCACCCCAGCCCGGACAGCCCTGGGGACACCCTGAGGCAGCCCTCGAGGCACGGACACGGCCACGAGCCGGACACACGGACACTGCCACGAGCCGGACACACGGCCAGGAGGCGGACACACGGACACGGCCAGGAGCCGGACACACGGCCAGGAGCTGGACACACCCCTCCGGCGGCACATCTGCACGGCGCTGAGGACACGGCGGGGGTGGCACCCGCACCGCCACCATCCCGGCCGGGCACAGCGGGGCTCGGCACCCCCAGAGCCGGGGAAAGGTGCCCTCCCGGGCAGCCCCAGCGGCGCAGCCCCCTCCCAGCCCTCCCTGCAGCACAGGATGCTCGTTACCTTCCTCCAGCTCGTCCATGCTGCCGATCTTCCGCGAGCCATCGATGGTGTAAATGTAGCGCACGCCCTGGGGCAGGTTGATGTTGTCGGACAGGGAGCGGGTCAGGTCCGCCAGGAGGGCATCAAAACTTCGGAAGCGGTCGGAGGACACGGCGTATACAATCCCCTTGAAGTAGCGGTCCCCGTTGCGATAGAAACGCACCTTCTTGGCTTTCTTCTCGTTACTGAGCGCCTGTAAGGTCCGGGTTCTGTAGAAGCTACAGTGAGCGCTGTGAGTGGGGCTGGGCAAGCCGTTCATCCGTGTGCCTCGCATGTTTCTGGACGCCTTGTCTCTTTCGTCAAAGTGTCCAAAATCAAGTTCCATAGTTTGGTGGACCCTAAAGATCTGAAGCTGGGCAGGAAGGAGATGGGGAGAGAAGGAGGGCAAAGGGTCGGGTTAGAGCCCGGCAGAGCCACAATCCGGAGAGCAAAACGACACTAAGGCTGTGTCTGGAGCAGGACAGATGCATTTGGGAAGCGCCCCCTCCCCTGACCCAGATTTGTATCGATTCTGGGGACTGAGAGTAGGAGGGGTCCTCGCATTTTGAAAGGGATCCAACTACTGGGAGCAGGGAACACGTTTCCAGAGAGCTGCCTGCTCCTGCACCTGGGAGTTCTCAAAGTGCAGCAGATCGGGACTTGGGGCCAAAGGCAATCACAACTCAGCCCCCAAAAAACTCATCCAAACACCAGTTGGCAATGAATTAAACCTCTGAGCCCTGTGAGGTTTCCTTTGGCAACAGAAAACAAGGAGATCCCAGTAAGTCAGCCCTTCAATCTGTGGAATCACGGAAGGACCCAGAGCATCTGAATGTTTAACATTAGAATAAACTGGCATTTATGAAAGAATGGTCACAGGGGAATAAGCAGTTTCTTTGTGACAGCCTGTTCAATAAGGGTTAGCAGTGAGATCCAGCCCACCCTTCCCCCTATCCGCAGCCCCCTCCTAGCCCATCAATCAATTCCCAGGACCAGCCTACATCTCCAAGAAGAAATGACTGCAAAGAAAAATCTGTCATTGAAACGCAGCTTCGGTAAGCTCTTTTCAGCCCGAGCCTCCTCTGAATTGCATTTTTGCTCCCGTTTAATGAGGAGGAGAAAATAAAGGGGCTATTTCCACCCCCCACTCCCAGCCCTAAGTGATTTAATAGCTGGAAGTGCCCGTGCCCCAGGGACACGCCGCCCCTGCTCCTCACCTTTCATTGTTCTGAGCACGGGGGCTTCCAGCACTGCAAAGCCGAGGCTGGAGCTGACACCCAGCGAGCAGGAATTTTGCACTGTCTCTAGTTTATGCTCGAGAACAACCTTTCTCCTGCACCAAACCCCGACACAAAAGGAGAAGGAGCCCCCCAACCCTGCAATAGGGACCCTTCCGCTCCCCCGGCAGCACCGGGCACATGCACCTCATGCATGTGGCTCTCATGTTAACACAGGGCTGAAAGGGGATTTACAGCTCTTGGCAGCCAGGTATAAACCGAGGAAAAGCTGTTGCTATCTCATCCCCGCCCTTTACACTCGCCGGAACGAAGCTCCTTCCCTGTATTTTACAATGTCAGCGTGACCCATGCAAGAAAAAATCATTGTCCCCGGGCTGCAGTGAGGCAGATGACAATGCAGGCATTCCACACAGAAACCCCGACTTGGGAACGTTCCCCCCACGAAGCCACCGGGGTAGATTCAGTCTGGTGTCATGCACTGAACAATGAAACATCCAAGCAACTTCGGGAATGAATCAGAGGATGCAGGGGTTTTGATTTTAAAATGAACTGCAGATGCTGTAAAGCACCAAGAAAAGATTCCTCCCTTCTGTTACTTTTCTGCATGCAAGTCACTCAGGAAAGCTCTACTCACCGGTTTTCAGCGTGCAGGGTGGAGATGCTCAGAGAAAGAAAACCAGGCTCACTCTGCCTTTGTTGTCTGAGCTCCAAGCAAGAAATTCCTGCCAGGGTGGATGAGACGCCTCCTAGGTCCTAGTGCCTTGTTCCATCCCTCCACGGCAACTTTGCCTCAGTGATTCTCACTCTCACCATCAGCTGTCTGCTCACAGGCTGTGTTTGAGGGGAAAACGGGGTGTTGATTCCAGCTCTGGATAGTCAGCAAATCAGTGAACAAAAGGTTTAGAGGGGCACGGTTGGGGGTGGTGTTTGGAAGGATGCAAATTTCCCCTTGAATCCAGTTGAAAAAAAAAAAAAAAAAAAAAAAAAAAAAAAAAAAGGAAAAAAAGCCAGGATAATTGCCCCAATCCTACAGGATTAGCAGTACAGGGGGGTCACAGTCACAATCCCTCAGTGTAGCACAGTGCTGGCACAAGACTCCTGTGCACTAGGAATGCAACTGAGAAAATCTCTGACCAGTGGAACTGGGCACAGTCCTGCTCCTGTGCTGGTTTTACGTGGCATCTGTGGTTTACACTGGCAAGCAGAAAGGGAGAATTCGCTTGGTGGTTCTGCATGAGGTGCCCCTGAATACTTTTTCTCTGTTAACATTGGACACAAGCCAAAGCCAGAGTGCTGAATCCCAGTTCATTCAAATCCCCAGGGGCTTCGGGATGGAGTCATCCAGCAGATCAGCATGGCTCATATCCCACTGTAAGAGAAGTTTATTTTCTGATTCCATTACAGGAGGAGCCAGCTGTTAAAAAATTGTACTGAGCTCCTTCACTTTGACAGCAAAATCTTTCACCTGCTTTCTGGGTGGAGATTCCTATGCTGCAGCACTACTAACCCTGCTCCTAACCCCACTGGTGCTGGCCTCATCCTTATGTTAGAAAAGAATGGGATTTGGAAATGGGAGAGTTTTCCCATCTGTAGAAGGAAATCTTTCCTAACAACACTGCGTCTGTTTCGAGTGAAAACATCAGATGTTGTCATTTTGGCACATCACAGCAGTATCACATTTACACAGAAGGAGTTAGTATTTATTCCAGCTTTGTCTGCCCTGTGCATGATAGTCCAGGCAACACTGACACAAACCCACTGAGAGTTCGTCTCTGTTTGCCAGCAACTTTCACACATGACATTTGTAAAAAGTTTCTTATTCCCTGAAACCACCCTTTTATTCAAAGTCTCCCACGCATCCTCTGCTGGAGATTTTGGCTGCTCCCTTGTGTGCATGGTCAGATCAGTGCAGAGGAGACAGAGCTGCTCTCCTCCCTCAGGAATCAGCCCTTGAGGGGAAGAACAGGGTCTGTCCTCTCCAGGGTATATTTCAGTATTTCTCTGGATTCAGTTGCAAGGGGCATGTGGGACTTCAAACCTTGTCCTTCCCATTTGGTCCTATTTTCTGAATTAGATAATTCCTGGCTGTTCATCACCATGAGCTTAATCTGTCCAGAATTAACAATTTTTTCCTTTAACACAATGCTGCTGTAAATATAAATCTGCCCGTGCTTTAAAAATTTGCCAAAAATATAAATCATTCAGCATGTGCCAAGTACAGCAGCAGCAAGAATAGAGAAAAGGAGAGTCTTCATTCAGCCTTCAGTGGCACACACAGCTTTGACAGAGGAAGATTTTTGGGATGATGGCTCGGCATCCAGGTACTACACCAAAGTAACCAGGCAGGATGATGTAGACCCAGGTGGAATTGTACCACAATGTGTCAATCTCCCAAATTTGACTTGTTTGGGAAGTTCTGAGGGCAGCAGAGGTGTCAAGCATCATTAACAGATGGCTCTTCTTTCTGCACCCCAGCCCATACCCTGTGAGATGAGCGAGTCTGCACAGACACCTCTGCTCAGGACAGGGACAGGAGCTTTTTGAAGCACAGGCACTGCCTTTGAGAAGCATTTTAAAATAACTACCCCAATAAGAGAACTGGAATTCGTCCCTGACTGAAGGATAAGGTTCCTACAGCAAATCATGGTAATGTTCATCTTGGGTAAAACCTCGAGTTCCTTCTAAACAGTGCCCAGAACATCTCCAGTGTGTCCTCCTTTAATCCCTCCACACGACCAGGAGGATCTCACAAGCCAGAGCACCATCAGAGGTGAAGAGCCCTGGAGCCAGACTGATTTCACATGTCCCCAGTGAAATCACACCATATTTGCTTCTCTCCAAGTGAGAACAGAATCACCTCAGACCACAGACACCAGCACAGAAACAAGCAGCAGTTTCTTGAGGAAAGCAAGGGCCTGCTCCCAACTTCATTTCTTCTCCAGAGCTTCTTCCCTGGCCTAAAGGAGTTAATGCCAGTCAAAACATATTTACATCAGAAGAGACTCACCCTCTGAGACATCATACTGTAAACAATTTTAGGCAGCGTGAGTGATTGAAAATTGGAAAGAAAATTCCACTTCCCATCAATAATTTCATCTAGCTGCAAAGGAAAGATAAATTTAGCTCTTCAGATTAAATTATCTACTTCAAATCAGGTGAATCATCTTTCCTCCAGGAAGGTAATATTTAGACTTTTGCCTGTGTAACTAAATCTGTATAAATACATGTTTGTTGACATTGCTGAGCAACCGTGACACTTTGGAAAGGGACAGACTGCAGGTGACAGGGGTTGTGTGATGCTGTGTGCTAACTTCTTCACATACACCTAGAAAACCCAGTTTTTAGCATCACTAGGAGCTGCAGTCTCAAATACTCTGTGTCAATGCCCAGTTGCTTTGCTATGCAACTTCCTGACTTCTATAAAAATTGCCTCTGGTGGCACAGCACATTGTCTGAACAGGATATAAGTCAGGGTGATAAGCAGCCAAGGTCTGGCTGTACCACAGAATCACAGAAAAATCAAGTGGTCACTGGGTTTGAAGGAAGTCTTGGATCAGCATCTCCAAGTCAGTCTATTTGGAAGCACGTGTTTAGCTACATTTCTTACTTTAACCTCTGTGGTTCTGGACTGTGTGGAAATTGTCATCCCTGATCACTGCTGTCAAAGCTCAGCTTGATGTAACTTAAACACCAAAACTCCCTGAAACAACCAATTGTTATTTCAGGAGTCTGACAAGTGTGTCAGTTTAAGAAAGACCATGTGATGGGGGGAAGAACAAACCATGTGACATAACATCAACTACTCAGTGCAATATAAGGACCACTCAGTGCAAAATCTGTAATCCCCCAGTGCAAAACAACAATTAAAGAAACTATTTAGTGCAGTACAACATGTCAGGGCACTCAAAGCTGAAATCCCATCAAGTCAATGGCTCAACCTCGACCCTACAGAGCAACATCCTTTAAATGTGAATCTTCAGAAGAGCTGAGAGTTCATCACAGAGTTATCCTATATCAGGCTATAGAGCTAGGTTCCTCCTACAGAATACTATGAGCTAATAAGCAATGGGGACTTGGCAGACTTTCACCACGTAACATTTGTTTCCTTTGG